TCTGGTTGTCTGGGACAGGTAGATTTACCTACTGCACAAGTAGCATTTCATATATTAAGCAACGGCATAGGCAAGTCATCCATACATAATTAAAGCAAACATAACTCAAGCATGCAACTGCCTTGGGCAAACAAAATTTGAGGGCGCCATTGTCTGAAGGAACAAGCTAAAATTGACAGTACTTTTTAAGCCCTGTTTTATTTGACCTATTTACAGTTTAATACTAAATACAATAATGTATGTTTCTGCAAATAATCAGATGAGTGGTGTAGTATTTTTCAAGGTATTGGGTGATATCTTTAAACAAAATGCAGCTACAAAATATTACAAGACTCGGTAAATTATCTTCATCACTTCAAGCTGGCAGTTATATGCATTTTATTCCTTGTCAGTTAAACAAGTTACAAATTGTGCAGGGCTCATCTCTAACAGTTTTGTTTCAACACTGTTCAATATGATGAACGACCTGCTTCAACATTTAGTTGGTGTGCAGTTCTTTTTCACATTTTGTTGAACAACTGCCCTCACATGTCTTGAGCAGTTTCCACCGGTGCTGTACCATGAGTCACTAGCCCAGTTGGCCAGTGTGGGATTTCCCTCTCTGTCATGTTTTTTGGGCGTTGGAAAAACAATCAGAAAAATAATAATAATATATCATGTTCCCCCAACTTACCTTCATGTCACTTTAATTACTTCATACCTCGTACAATCTTGACAAGGTCTTAAAATTTAGTAGTTGTCTTGAAAAGTCCTTGAATTGTATTAAGGTCCTTGAAAAGTACTTGATTTCTTTTTTCCGTCTTGAAGAGTCCTTGAAATTCACTACATTGTCTACGCCAGCCACCATTTTGTGTAAAATAAGATTATTTTGCCTATGAAAATTTGGCTCATCGTCGGTATAAGAACCTGTAAAACTCACGGGGAACGTGTTTGTGAACAATAGTTCATTTCCGTTTCTTTATTCAAAATGCTATTCTGTACCTCAGACGCAATAAATAATTATTTTAAAGCAAAATAATGCTTTGTAAGGTTTTTCTGAAGATGTAAATAACACCAATGAACCATATTTGGCTGACACCTCAAATTCAGCTTTACTGGTCATGTGATGATCTTGTGTTTATATTTTTTGAAATCTTCATGTGAACTAAACTTTGTCTTGAAGTTACTGATGTCAATATGTTCTTTTTGCTTTTATTTCAGGTGAATTACAAGTAAAAGATTCAACATAACTCAGTCTAAGTACTCAGTGCCATGCCGTGTGTTTGACTGATGAGAAACTTACCTCACCTAGTGCTATTAGTAGAATTAGCATGCCAAAAGAGATGATAAATGGGTTACCCCTTGATTCTCTAGCACTCAAGAAAGTAACACGGCCCAAGCAAGTTATCCCAGTGAATCACAGTATTCCATCCGGCAATAAAGGAAAACATACGACGGATCCATTCATCAGTAACAGCATTTCAAGTCTCACGCAGAAGTCCGAAGGATTGCATGTTCTTGATAGTGCTGATGGAGTGGATGACATTGAAGGTTCTCCAATCATCAGGCGGAAAGATCGGCTAGTTCAGGAAATAGAAAACAGTCTGGCAGAAATTGAGGATCACTACTCGAGCACAGGTAAACTGGAGGAGGAAAAGTCAGTTGTTGAAATGGAAAGGAACTTGTTGTTGAAAGATATTGAGGAAACCATTGCAGAGATTCAGAATCATGTGGTTAATTCCTCTGAACTGGAACTTGAGAGAGGTGCCCTACAAGAGGAATGTGATGGACTACGAGGTCAAGTTGATCATTTAAAAGTGGTATTGGACAATCGAGTTGATGGAGTAAATGATGAAAAAACTGATTTAGTCATTGAAAAACAAATCTTAGACTTGAAAGCTGAGATTAATGCACTGACTTTAGAAAATGAAAAATTCAAAAGTAAAGGAAGAAGTGATGATGATGGAGATATTCCGTCTGACTTGATGAGTCGAGAGTTAGAGTTGTTGCATGACGAAAATGCAAACTTGCAAAAGTTGCTGCATATGGCTGAAGAATCGGAAGAGAACATGGCTAAGGAGTTTACGTCATGTCAGTCAAAGATAAGTGATGTACAAAAGCTAAACGAAAGCTTAAAGAAGGAGAACAAAAAGCTAAAAGCTGAAAAGGAACAGCTTGAATTAGACAAAGAAGACTTGGAGGAAGAACTTGACAGCTTACAGAAACGTTTCAAAAAGAATCCTGATCAAAATGGAAATAGTTTGATGCTTCAGGTAAGAAGGTCCTTGGAGTGACCAACATCAATAATCTCCCAACAATATCCATGAATCATTAGGGGAAAGGGGTGTGAGAATTTATAAAATGATCAGCTAACAGCAAAGGAAAAATGCTTTGGTCTTTAATTAAATTCTCTCAACTTATTCTATTAGGAAATGTATGGAGAACAGTCTGGGAAATTGTATGTGGATATAGGGGGCGGAAAGGGTCAATACACTATAAATACTGTTGACTCTCTTGAGAAACCATTCTTAACCCCTTCTTAGGGCTTATTCAAGAGATGTGGGCTGCCATTGCATAATTTTCATGATTCGAGAAAAAAATTAGTGCATCAGAACAATTTACATGTACAGCAATAGTCCATTCATTTACAGCCGATAATGAGGCTCAATTTGACCTTGTTTTGATACGACCCATCCTGCTTTATTATGATTTCCATAACAAAAAGAAAGAGGTTTGTATCAAAACAAGGTCAACCTTAGCCTCACATTCATACAAAGGCTAGGATGCTAAGCACACAACTGTAAAATGGTCTATTGGGACGT